ATATATATACGTATGTATTTTGTATGTGTGTGTGTGTATGTATATGGGGCAGCTGTGCCTGAGTGGTTAGAGCAGTCATCCTCCAATGGAGAGTTGGAGGTTTGATTCCACCTGCAGTCAGTCACGTGTTGGTGTCCGTGTGCAAGACACTGAACCCCTCCTTGCCTCTGATGTTTGCTCCATCGGTGAATGAATGTGATCTGAAGCTCTGATGAGTCTCTCTAGAGTCACATTATCTTTGTAGAGATGTAGTAGAGTGCTGTATGCATGTGTGTGTTGGAGGTAAACGAGGGCACAGATTGTGTTGTAAAGAGCTTTGAGTGTCTGGATTAGATAGAAAGGTGCTATATAAGTACAGTCAATTTACATCCTACTATAATACAGGGTGTACAGTGTATCAGTTGGTAGAGCTGCCATGTCTCAGCGAGAAGGTCGCTAGATCAAATCCCGGCCCGGGGTCTTTCTGGGTGGTATTTGCATGTTCTCTCCGTGCTGCGTGGGTTTTCTCCGGGTACTCCACTTTCCTCCCACCGACCACAAACATGCAGGTTTGGTCCCGCCACTGCACCCAGTATTCACTGGTTAACTGGACATCATTAACTTCACACAGACTCTCTCACTGGTACATTTTCATCATTAAATCACTTCTTGGTCTGCTGCCTTCATACATCTCCTCCTACATGTCTCTGTGTGAGTGCAGCTACAGCGTGCGCTCTCAGGACATTATTACCTGCAGTGTTTCCTCAGTGCAGACTGAACTAGACAAAAGGATCTTCTCCTACTCCGCTCCTGTTTCCTGGAATATCTTGTAAAAAGACCTGAAGCTCTCGACCTTGACCTCTCTAAGTGGCTTCACACATCTGTGAAGTTCCTGGCAAGAACCTGTTCCTGTTTTTAGTTTTCTACACCACCTTATAATCTAGCTGTTTTTTTTGTTGCTACTTTTCCTTTTAATTACCATTTTACTTGTTAAAAAAAAAAAAAAAAAAATTGTACACATCCTTTATGATTGTCTTGTTGTCGCTGTTGTCATCATTCTCTGTTGAAATCAGGTCTCTATTGTAAATGAGTCCCTGAGGCTCAATGGGATTAACCTGTCTAAATAAAGCTTGAATGAACATTAGGCTGGTTGGTAACTCTAAAATTGTCCCTAGGTGTGAGTGAGAGAGTGAATGGTTGTCAGACTTGTCAATCAATCGGATTTGGGCAAGACGGGCCCAGATTCTGTCCCATTTTGGACTCTAGTTTCAAACCAGGGATTGAACCCAGGACATTCTTGCTGTGAGATAATAGTGCTAACCACTAATTTGTTGTGCTGCCCCCTCCACCATGCACGCAAAAATAATGTGTAATTTTCACAAATGTGGGTTTTTTTTCAATTCAACCTTTATTTAAACAGATTAGTCACATTTAGCCTCGAAGGCTAATTTACAAGTGAGATCAGAGTCAGAGTCAGAGTTTCTTTATTGTCATTCGCACCTCATGTGGTACATGTGGTGGAGCGAAATTATGTACACGGGGTCCCAGTTACATCCAACAATAAAATGTATAAGAAAAACAATGATAATATCTAAGATATGAACTAAGAAAAACATCAACTAAATATACACTAAGC